AGTCTACCTTTATCACAGCACCAAGCTGTAAGCACAGGCAGAAAGAGTCTTCCGCACAGGGTCAACCTGCCAGTTCATTATCTTGTTATGGGTTAAACTGCTTTAATTGCATTTGACAGGCCTATGTTATGTGAGAGTACAAGCTACTTAAGGCATTTTTTAATCAGCTAAGTTTAATAAATAATATACTGCAAATGTGCTCAGATCTGTTATGGTTTAATTAGGCATAAATATTACTGTTCATTGTGAATTTCTTTGGACATGTCAGAATAATTATTACAACTTCAAGGTGGCGTTTGCTAAAAAAGTAATGCAGCCATATGTTTATTTAAGTTGACATTTGCTTTCATCTGAGTTAGGCACCACATTTCCAAAGCAAAGTCTACTAAATCTATGAACTCTAATTTATGAAACAGAAAGCTTTGTAATTGAATTGGTAAATTGGATGATGTGGACTTCTTTATAAACAACTGTGGAAAGTACAGTCATCTTTAATAGCCAATGTCCTCATCCTTGATTAGGGGTCTCCAAACTATGGCCCTCCATGTGTTGAGGAATTGCAAGTCCCATGAGACCTTGCAAGACTGACAGCCATAGGAAAGACTCCCAGAGGCAGAGGCATGATGGGACTTGTAGTACTTCAACAGCTGGAGGGCCATCATTTGAAGACCCCTGTCCTAGATTATAATGGATGTAGGATTTTCCCCATGTTGTGTTTCTGACAGAGACTTAAATATTACAAGTTAAAGGGAATTCAAGGATCAGTTGATCTTGGTTCTATTAATATGGCACACCTTGATCTTGGTCCAGTGGTAGGACATTTCAGTGCAAATGTTGGCATGAAACTGTTTTCAAGACAAGTATGAATTGGAGATGGTACAGTTAAGCAAGCCATAGATTAGACAATTTTCTTTCCTTCCACCTGCAGTGGAAGGAAAAAAAGGCACCTGATTCCCCTGCCAACCCAGTCAGTGGTGATGGAGGAATCCTTCCCCCAGTGCTGTTGTTTTTTTCTGCCAGAGATGAGTCTTCCCTATCAGCAGAACACAGTAATCACTGCTGACTTCTATAGCCACTGGCATTGATTGTTTGCAATAAATCCAACAGACTGGTTGTACTAAAGTCGATTGATGGCTTGACTTCAGTACAACCAGCATGCCCATAGATTGATCAGCCAGTTCCTTCTGATCTGGTCAAGATTCAAACCATCTATGGCTGGCTTTAGTGTGAGGGTTATGTTTAGGCAAGGTAACAGTTACAGTTAGGAGTTGAAATGGAATTTGAGGATAGGGTTAAGGGTTAAGAGTTATTTAAACATTAGGATTTAGTGAGTTAAGGATTCAAAGTCAAGTTATAGGGCTAAGAGAGTTCTATGGTCACAGCATACACTTTCAGATTTTTTTGCACAACATTGTAATAGCAATTCAAGCAATAGGTTTTTGAAAATCCAGTATAAGAGTTCTTAAAAAATCTCCTTTCATGTTTCATGTGAGTTCTGCCTGTCTACTGGCCATCTCTTTCCACAGCTTCCTGGATTCCCTGCATGCTTTGCAGCATCTCCCCTGCTGTTTTCTTTCCATTTCTAAGTACTATACTAAATCCACCTCCTGAAACTCCCCCCTCTCAGCACCTCTGTAGGTCAGAAGGCAGGCTATGTGAAATGTGTGAACAGCGGCATCCAATCACAGGACATAGTGAGAATGTGTCACAGAATTCCAAGAGGTAAGTGTGAGGGGATCTTCACAAAGTTTACAAACTTCAAGATTATTCAGATTAATAGGAGAATAGAAATAATTAAAATTGAATGTGTACAATTATATACATGATATAAAGTTAAGTCATTATAAAATGCACATCAAACTTCGGGTTTGGGCCTCCCTTCTCCCAACTGGAGCACAGCTACAGCCTTATTAAAAAAAAAACATACATGGCTTTTTTTTCCAACAGTTATAGGTCTAGTGACATCAGAAGTCACCACCTTCTTAAATGCTGCAGATGGCATCACTATGTCATTACTCTGCAGCATTCTCCTGTGAGTCCAGGATTGGGGATGAAATCTCGACATCCTGAGCTCAAAACGAATGGAATGAATGATGCTTGGGGGGGATTTATTAAAGCTGGTGCATGCAGAATCTGGTGCAGCTTTACATAGTTACCAATCAGCTTCTAGGCATTATTGTCATTGCTTAATTGACCAAGCTGAAGTTAGAAGCTGATTAGTTACTATGTACAGCTGCACCAGGTTCTGTGTGCACCAGTTTAAGTAATTTCCCCTCTTCGTGTCATTCAGTTCAGAAGTCCTGCAGTCCCAAATTTAAAGCACTTACATATAAGTAAACTATAAAAGCACTTCAACATTGTGGAGAAGTTAATCTTCAACATCTAACAACAGAAGCATTGTTTATTGGAGACCTCTGACATAGAATGAGGTGTATCTGACCCTTGCAGAAAGCCAACTCCTTCTCTACAGCTTGCTGCATAAAAAAAAAAAAAAAAAAAAAAAACTGTAGGACTTTACATACCTTTTGATTTTGTGCACTTGGAATGTAGAGTGTTTCTCTGATTTGAACTAAAACTTAAATTTAGCTTTAAACATTTAGTAAGCTTTAAACTCAGAATAAAACAACAAACACAGGTGAAATATAGTGACTCAATACACAATATTTAGGTGTGCTCAATGTTTGATTTAACCAAAAAAAAAAGGAATCTGTAATGGATATCAACCAGCCATATAAGCACAGATCAGGATAGTTATCAAACAAATTAGCAACCAAATTAGATGCAAATTTCTATGAATCCGATACCTCTCATTTTGGAAAATGCAAGCAACGATTTTCTGTGTATTTGTAATCTCTACAACCCTGGGCAGTAAAGTGAGACAGTTTTACTAAGTCTGCAAAAGATTTAGCACTGTAGAAGAGACAGATCTGCATTCATAACACATTCAATATAAAAAAATGATCTGGGGCAGGTTTTATATTGTTGTAGTGCTGGTTTAAAGCAGCACAGGGAGGAATCGAACAATAGTAAATCTGTCTCAAAATCCATCTCACTGCTTCTGTTTGCCATTGTGTGAAAGAATTGATAAATGTCTTTCATAACGTTTATGCTTTTAGGATAATCATTGGCCAAAGGCTAATTCGTAAAACATTACCACAAGGCAGATCACTCAAAAGCACAATGCAGGCAAAAGTAGGTAACTATAAGTTTTGTTCTAGGTTAATAATCCTGTGATAGTAGGCCTTGTTAATAAACTAGTTGAATTATTTCATATTTTCTCTAAAGAACTCCTTTAAGCTTTTAAAGTCTAGGTATGATTTTTTTATTTTTTTTATTTTTGCTGAGTTACATTGATCCAGCTTAGACCAATATAAGTATACATATCTCATATCTGAGTGATGGCTGTGGAAGCTGCAAAACACTGTAGTAGTCACCACCCACCACTACTACAGTGATAGCAGCAATCATTGGGGACCTGTGCCGAGCAGATTCCCTTCTGCATATTAACCATGGCCTCGCTTATTTGGTACTGCCGCCATTCACAAAACCTCTTGTATTTTTTTTAAGGAAGGCAATCTGATGAGGCAGAGAGGTGGGGCAGTGATATTATTATTATACAGTATTTATATAGTGCCAAAGGGTATGCTCAGTGCTGTACAGTAGCAAGGGGGACACAACATGAGACAAGACAGTAACAAAACAGTACACGAGGGGTTCGAGGGCCCTGCTCTTTCGAGCTTACAATCTAGGAGGGAGGGGAAGGTGATACAGGAGGAGATGGCTGTGGGGGATGGAGTGGTGGGAGGAGTGGAGGAGGTTGTTAGGTGAGGTCAGCTGTTAGGTGAGGTTGGGGTAGGCTTCCCTGAAGAGGAGGGTTTTCAGGGTGCGCCTGGAGGTGAGGAGGGTGGGTGACAGTCTGATGGATTGGGGTAGGGAGTTCCAGAGGATGGGGGAAGTCCTAGAGAAGTCCTGCAATCTGGCGTGGGAGGAGGAGAGACCAGGGAGCTAGAGAGTAGGAGGTCCTGTGAGGAGCGGAGGGCACGGGTAGGGTAGTATTTGGGTATCAGGTCAGTTATGTAGTTTGGGGCGGCATTGTGAATGGCTTTGTAGGTCAGGGTTAGCAGTTTGAATTTGATGCATTGGGTAATTGGGAGCCAGTGAAGGGATTGGCAGAGGGGGGAGGCAGATGTGTCAAAAGATTCAGAAGATAACAGTGGTCACTCTTGCAGTGGTGGCTAGTTTTGTGTTTTTAAGTTTCCACAGGAATTGTTCAGGTATGAGCTATGCTTATTTACATTGGTCCAAGCTAGACCAATGTAACTGTGCAAGAGGGCTTTTTTCAGCAGAAACACATGGGAAAGCAGTTCTGGCATCTCCAACACAGTATGTATGTAATGGCATGGGGTGCTGTGATGTGCTAGAAGGTCCATTGATAGAGAATATATTGTTGTTTAGAAATGGGGTGTATTGTTTAATGTCGGATCTCTTGTTGCTGTGGGGTCAGTTGTTGCTGGGATGGATCTGCTGCTGAGGCAGTGGTTTATTGTTAATGGCTGTTACAGGCTCTATTAATTCTGTCTGCTGGGAGATTTATCGTTGCTGGCAGGGGGCTATTGTTCCTGGAGTGGATATATTGTTGTTGGGAACATTTGTGTTGCAGGGGTCTATTATTGCTGGGGGGGCAATATTGTTGTTGGGAGGGGTCTATTGTTTTTGAGGATGGTGCTTGGGGAGGGGATTTTATTGTTGGTGGCTTCAGGGGATCGATTTTACTGCCTTTCTCATTTGATGTGGGTAGGAGCTGAACCATGGCACAGTGCGCAGTGGTAGGTAGGGTTCAGAGACAAGGAATAACTCAGAAGGGAGGAGTACCTGCACTTATTTTCTGATAAAAAGCCCTGCTGTGCAATGTAAATTAAACCTAGATTTTAGCTTTCATTTTGATATACGTATAATGTATACATGTTAAGAAAACTTGATACATATAAAGTAATAATAACCTTGACATGAGGGTGGGGACCCATCCATTTGAAGGCGCTCGCCCAGTCTACAAGTCAAAATTTCATTGCCAACTAAGGTGAAGCCAGGAACACACTGATATCGTATTATGTCCCCTATAAAATAAAAAAGCATATTTAAACATAATGCTTTCATATAATTTATTGTAAACAAAAAATGATAGTATTACGGTGCAGAGAAAAAAAACTGTGCTGCCATAATTGTGGTATAATTACAAAGTTTTCCTTCCAAACCCATTTCATTATAGAGATTAGAGTATTGCAAAGAGTAGCTTCAAGAATTGATAAAATTGATCTGCAATCCATAGAGGATTATTTGATTTAGGTTTGATCACTTGGAAAGTCACTGTGATTAACTGATAAATGTTATCATCTCTGCAGAAGCAGAATACAATGCCTCAACCCAATATCACATCAATGCAAGTTCATAACGTACCTTAATTACTGTAAACCTAACAATAAAAGATAAATAAATACATAAACTTTGAACTGCAGTGTTAGCAGTCAAGATTTCCTGTATGTAACCCTATAGGAAGCCTATATGAAGCCTATGAAAACTAACTATATATATATATATATATTAACCAAAAACTTAACTATGCTGTGAAAATTGAGATTTTTGGAAAGTTTGCTGCAGGGGCGGACTGACCATTTGGGAACTCGGGCACTGCCCGAGGGCCCGGGGTCAGTATGGGGCCCCATGAGAAGCCCCTGGTACCTTTCATAGGCTTTTTTTGGGGTGTGGTTTTTAGTGTGTGTGGACAAGGAATCAGGGGCCCCATGATCCCTTATTGCCTGGGGGCCCCATGAGTTGTCAGTCCGCCCCTGGTTTGCAGTGATAGAAAAAAGTGTATGCAGCATTCATCTAGACTAGATTTTGTTAATTTTCATTGCATTGCTCCCAAAAGTGTCTTCTTTATAAATCTTGACTTACTATTTCATTTATCACTAGTATACACAACTTCTACTACATGCATTCAACCTCATTATTATAGGAATTTAAATATGGAACTTGACAGGCACTCAAGGCTTTTGTAAAGCTCTTACAAGTGCCTGTTCTGATAGAGAGCACCAAACTGAATGTCTCAGTAGACATGTGGATATGCATGGCTTGCCATTTCTTCCTGAGGTAGAATATCAACTCCACAACATAAGCATTAGATGCACGTCTGCTTTGAGTATCCATATGAACCTAGACCCACTATTATTATACATTTATACTCCACTCTATAAAACACTTCACACAGCCACAGTTTTACCTATTTCAAATTCATCATCTTCTGCCAGTATTTCAGCATTTGGCACTGGAGCAGGTGACTGGCATATTCTCAACTGGTAAGCTGTAGAAAAAAGAAAATGATTATTTTTAATATGCACTTAAATATGTATTCTTTGAAGTCACCTATAAGACAGAAAGCTCTGTGCAAACAAAATTATGCAGTGTAGTGTTATGTATTCTTGGTTCAGTTTGACTGCAAAGTATACTGTGGCTTATACAAAAATTAAAAAATAAACCATAGATTACTGCCGCGGAGACTGTGGAGTACTGCATACAATACTGTCATTAGGTGGCATATTTAAAAGTAAATTTTTCTGTTTAAGCTTCACTATACCTTCCCTGCCTTCCTTTTTTTTCTCCCCTTCCTTTTTTTCCTTCCTCCCATACTATTCTACTCTTCTCCTGTTGGGCCCCATGTCCCAAGAGACTCATGCATGGCCTAGCTCACCCACTAGACAACTATGCAGGACCTTTAATGGTTCAGTATTCTGTTCTCCTCCCAGCTGTTTCAGCCCCTTGTGTTGGACGCAATACACTTGAGCTGTCTGGCTAACACTTGCGGTCAGGTAGGTCAGGAGTTAGGTGCATGGGATTGGCTAATGATGTGTGATGGGGGGTTTGTGGCATGGCGAGGCCATACCACTGTATAACATGACATTCTAAGCCAGGTTTTGCAGAAAACAGGTTCACACACTTCACCCACCCGGTCAGGGGCGGACTGACAACTCATGGGCCCCCTGGGCAATTGGGGATCATGGGGCCCCTGTGTCCTTGCCCACACTCAAAACACACCCAAAAAAAAGCCTATAAAAGGTACCAGGGACATTTTATGGGGCCCCCTACTGACCCCTGGCCCTTGGGCAGTGCCCGAGTGCTCGAACGGTCAGTCCGCCCCTGCTCCCGGGAGTTATTGGTGCAGGGGCGGACTGACTAATCGGCACTGCCCGAGGGCCCGGGGTCAGTAGGGGGCCCCATGAGATGCCCCTGGTATCTTTTATAGACTTTTTTGGGTGTGGTTTGAGTGTGGGCAAGGACACAGGGGCCCCATGATCCCCTATTGCCCGGGGGCCCCATGAGTTGTCAGTCCGCCCCTGATTGTGTGTATGCTAGGGAGCAGAGAACTGCATGTCTGCACCACATTGTCCAGGGCAGGACAAACCAAGGCTGAGACCTGTGAAAGATGGAGTATCAGGGAGCTGCAGGAAAGATACAGAACTGAGAGAGGTACAGCATTTGGAATATGAGCACTGGAAAGTGTGTTGATGATCTGCAGATATAGGGCTGAACAGTAGATCTGCAAAGAGATCCAGGAGGCTGAATACTATTTTATTAATTTGATGGTGGAAACCCCTTGAGTGGGAAGCTATTTGTTTGTGAAATTTGTTTCTGTTTTAAATAAAAGTGGGCAGAAAAAGTCCTAAAAAGCACATCTGAAGTGCCCATCAGTGCAGCCTATCAGTGCCCATAAGGGCAACCTCTCAGCACCCATCAATGTAGCCTCATCAGCACACATCAGTGAAGAAAAACATTCCTTATTTGCAAAATTTTATAGCAGAAACAAATAAAGTGTTTTCCCCCCAAATGTTTAGACTTTTTTTGTTTGTTTAGCAAAAAAAAAACCAGCAGTGATCAAATACCACCAAAAGAAAGCTCTATTTGTGTGGAAAAAAAGATAAAAATTTCATAGGGATACAGTGTTGACTGACTGTGCAATTGTCATTCAATGTGTGGCAACACTGAAAGCTGACAATTGGCAGGAAGGGGGTGGAAGCGCTAAGTACTGAAGTGGTTAAAATCTCTGCAATGTACTCTGATCAACCAAAGGGGATTGTTTTTTTCTCAACAAAGGTGGAGTTACTCTTTAAAAAGAAGGACATTTTTCCTTAAAAAGGGACAACGTCATCACTGTAAAGTACATTACATAAAATAAAAATAAATTATAATTAACCTCTTGCCGACCGCGCATAGCCGAATGACGGCTTCACCGCGGCCGGCCAGTTCTGGGTGGACGTCATATGACGTCCTCCCAGAACGTGCTCTCCTGCGCGCCCCTACGGACACAGCTGATCACGTGATGTGGTAAAAGGCCAATCACAGCGGCCTTTTACCACCTGATCAGCGGTGTCCAATGACACGCTGATCAGAGGGAAATGCAAGTGCCGGTTCTCGGCTGCACTTTCCTCACACTGTCAGATCGTGAGGAAAGTACTGCCGAGAACCGGCAGTTGTCAGAGCGGGGATCGGCACCGATCATCAGGGCACTGATGATCAGTGCCCTGATGATCGGTGCCCAGCAGTGCCACCCGCAAGTTCCGCCTAGCAGTGCGCCCACTAGCCCCGCCCACCCATGCCCAGCAGTGCACCCACCCGTGCCCAGCAGTGCACCCACCTGTGCCACTCTGCAGTGCCACCTACCTGTGCCCAGAAGTGCCACCTACATGTACCCAGCAGTGCCACACACCTGTGCCCACCCACCTGTGCCCACCAGTGCCACCCACCTGTGCCCACCCACCAGTGCTGCCCACCAGTGCCACCCACCAGTGCAGCCCAGCAGTGCTGCCAGTCAGTGCCACCAGTCAGTGCCCAGGGGTTGTGCCAGTCAGTGCCGCCAGTCAGTGCCCAGGGGTTGTGCCAGTCAGTGCCGCCAGTCAGTGCCGTCTATCAGTACCCATCATCAGTGTCACCTATCAGTGCCGCCTATCAGTGCTGCATATTAGTGCCGCCTATCCGTGACACCTCATTAGTGCTGTCTATCAGTGCCGCCTATCCGTGACACCTCATTAGTACTGCCTATCAGTGCCCTTTAGTGCTGCCTATCAGTGCCCATCAGTGCCGCCTATCAGTGCCCATCAGTGCTGCCTCATCAACGCACATCAGTGAAGGAGAAAAAATGCCTGTTTGAAAAATTTTATAATAGAAACAAAGAAACTTTTTTTTTTTTTCCAATTTTTTGCACTTTTTTATTTATAGCGCAAAAAGTAAAGCTCCCAGCGGGGAGTAAATACCACCAAAAGAAAGCTCTATTTGTGAGGAAGAAATTATCAAAATTTCATATGGGTACAATGTTGCATGACTGCGCAATTGTCAATCAAAGTGCGGCAGCGCTGAAAGCTGAAAATTGGCCTGGTAAGGAAGGGGGTATAAGTGCCTGGTAGGCAAGTGGTTAAAAATAAAATTAAAAATAAAAATAATATTAAGTACATTATATAAAAAATAAGGAAGCCAATGAAACGCTAGACTTTTTATGCTAATCTAACACCTTAACACTCTGAATATTGTTACTGAGGCTTGGAGAACTTGTGTCAGGTACACGAAAAAACTCAGAAGAAACCTTGCACCAGTAGCCTGACTATAACTTTATGTCTAATGTGAAATCTTCAAACTGATTATGTTGTTGGTGAGCTAAGAAATGTTTTGGCTTTGATAAACTTTGAATATCTAATTTGAAATTTGGACACTGTTCACATTAATTTCACAAAGCATTTTCTCCATTTGAAAAGAATCCAATTTCTATAATTTTTTGGACACCGTGACCCTTTTAAATAGAACATATGTTTTGTGCAGACACACATTTCACATCCAAGGGATGAGAGGTTGTTGAAAATTGTCTACACACTCATTAAAATGTATGAAACACCATGCCGAGCCAGCAAGTGTTTCTGAAAAGTGTCAATAAAATCAAACAAAGAAGCCATACCATATGAAGAAAAATGTGCAGCTTATGTAGGAATTCCGTTAATACACAAAGGAATACATTTATAAAGCAGTGATGTTAACTTTTACCAAACATTTATTAGTAGTGAATCAATCACTTTCATTTAAAACACATGCACTAGAAAGATTGCACTGCAGTGAACATCAAGTTAACTGCTTTATAAATATACCCCAAGATGATTTTATTTTCAAATGAAATTTTCACAGTTGTCAGTATTTCTGGTGAAGGCAAAGATAACTGTATACAATTCCAATGCATTTCAGTTCTCAACCTGACATTACCAAAGGGCAGCTCATAAAGTTCAGTATATGAAATGCCAGAGAGGACTGTTAAGCCTGGTACACACTACAGTATAAGCTGGTTTTTTTTTTTTTCCCCATTTTTCGTTCAACTCAGCAGGTTGAACGGAAAAAAAAAACCTGAGAGATTAGTGCTCTAACACAAGCGATATTAGTGTGTGGCATTATCCCCTGCTGTGCTATTGTATTCTGACACCACCACCCCCCTCCAGAAAATACTGATCAGCGCTTGCACCTATTGGCAAGCACTGATCAGATGGTGGTCTTCTTCTCACAACTGGCTTTTTTCGGACAGTCACCTGTAAACATGGGGTGAACGTTGGTTGGTTTCTGCTGAACCTGCCAATATTCGGCCCGTGTGTACCTGGCATTAGAAACTGCAGGTATACTAGCGGAAATTGTGGTCAGACACCATGGGCATGCTAAAGGTGTGGTTTAAAACTGAAGACATGATGTCGAAATGAACGAGAACATGGGGTAAGTAGAGATTACTCTTATGTTCACAAAAACATTGTTCTACAGAGTTCTGGAATTCAAGGGCCATAAACCAAGTACTAAAAGGTCACATGTGGCCCTTATGTCTTGGGTTGGGCACCAGGGCTCTAAGGTGTTGATTTGTTTTATTTTTCTTGTTCAAGTATTTTATTCATTCGGAAGTATGAAAACAACAAAATGCACAAGCTTACAAACAGTTGCGAGCAGTAAAGGTAACAGAAGGACATCGTATTCAAGTACATTCTATACATAACTTGTTTTATTGTTCTGATATACTGTAGATGAAGGATCTCATTTAATACAGCTTTTGTGTTTACCTGCAATTTGACTTTTATAATATGTATGTTGAGTAAATTTTAGATTTTTTTCTATATCTAACTCAGTGCTTTAAGATAAGTCTTGAGCCTTTGTGATAAATTAATAATAACAGTCAAATTGATTCCCCTGTTTAATTGACTAAATGAACTTAAAACACTCTGTCTTTGATAAAGTGTTTGCAAATATGTACAAAACGAGCAATAGGGAATAGGGGATCTACAAAAGAAGCCTACA